AACTATGTTGTAAAAAAAATATGAAAAATTGTTATTCCAAAATGGAAAATCTACTTGTAATTGTAACAGGATATGCGTTCTCTTCTTCTCGATAATAAATTGGAATTAACGGAAAGTATGCACTTTCGAAAAATCGTTCGAGAGATAAAATCTTAAAGAGAGAGAGAGAGAGAGAGAAAATATAAACAGGATATACCAGTTCTGCGCGCTCCACATTCTCGATATGTGTCACGATTGGAAATTACCATCATCATTAAATCGGAAAAGTTTCACGGGATAAAAATCGTATAGAATTTTTCCACTCTTTCCGATACCAACAGGTTTTATATCCAGTTTCGATCCATGTTTAATCGAAAACATGGGGGAGATGGAACGATCGTGTTGTTGTCTTCCCTTCTTCTTCCGTGGGATGCGGTTGAAATTGCAGCGGTCAGTGTTTCCCCCGCTTGGCAAAATGTAGCGGAGGCTTCATCGAAAATCGAGGCAATCATGCGGATGCAGAAGCCGGAACGCGGGATCAGAACCGCGGACGCCTAATCAGCCGATTGCGCCCAAGGAAATACCCCGGCTCCCATGGAATGTTAATGCGATCTACGCCGACGATCCTTAGGAAACCGCAAGGGCTCCCCTTCGAGGGTGAGGGGGAAGGGGGGCGAAAGCGGCCAAGACGACCCACTTCGGGCCCTCCCCGTGTGCCACGCACGTATCGTTGCGCAATAACCACCGTTCCGCTTCTGCCGTTCCCTCGATTATCCGCAACCACCGGCTGCGCAGCGCTCCTCCTCGAGGATGCCTCCCTTCTCCAGACCTTCGCCCCCTCCTCCGCTTATCCCTTCCGCGTTTCTTCGGATTTGCCGCGAGCTTCTTCCAAACAGCAGAAAATGGATTCGAAATCTCTTGTCGATTGAATTTTATTTTTGTATTTCTTTATTATAATAATTTCGACTGTGACAACGACGTAAAGCTTTTAAATAAGAATAATTTCAATTTTTGAATTAAGGCAATGATAAAAGAAGCGTGACGAAAGATTGGAGGAAGAATCCTCGAGAAAACGTTGGAATAAAAATACAGAAGACATTTTCCGGAGAGAGAGAGAGAGAGAGAGAGAGCAATGGGATTCGATACACGCAAGTGAATAAACCGGAATTCCCGAATAATAGAGAGAGGAACGATCCACGTACGATGGATCTTCAATCTTGGAACTTGGTTCGTTCTTCGAGGGGAATCGAATCCCTCTGCTCCTCTTCCCCTCTCTTTCTCTCTCTTTCGCGCGGATACGGATGCATAGCCATGCCACTTTTGATACGGTTCCGCCTGGGCAAGGACCTCTCGACCCTGCCTTGGCTGCTGGAGGGGGGGACCCTGGGGGTCGTCGTGATGCGACCAGCTGGCAGAAACCTTTTCCCTCTTAGCTGGCTTTCAAGGTGTGCACGTGCACGTTGCAACGTGCTCACGAATGCGAAGCTTGACGCGTGATATCGCATAAACGCGCCGCGTTCCTATCGAAATCGGAAGAATTCTCTCTCTCTCTCTCTCGATCTGCCCTCTTCCGCGTGCTTACCAGACATCGGCGTTTCAACCGGCTAATGGATTGAAATTCCCTTCGATCGATGTCTTTCTCCGTCGTGTTCGGTAATTACCAGGAGGGAAATAGGAGACGTATTGAAGATATTTCGTGAAACTTGGTGTGTTTGTTGATATTCGATAATGAGCGAGCGACTCGTGGAATATAACTCGAAAATATAAATATAAGTGTGTTTTTGTTATGGTCGGTGTATGACGGATCCAATGAATAAATACCGATGTTTACACAGGTTTATAGGTTTATCGAAGAGAATAAAGTTTGGAATCAAAGTTCGATTCGATTTCAATTCGGTATATTAAGAGATATTATTAATTAAAGTATTGAATTATTTATTTTTAAATTTTGATCGAATTATTTTCTGAATAAATTGGAGGAAGAGTCGAAATGGATCGTCACATCATTATATATATTTTCGAATCATACTTATATTCAATATAAATATAAATGTGTTTTTACGTAAAATGAATTATTAATCTCGATGATGTATTGTAAAGGTTTAGCGAGAATAAAGTTTGGAATCAAAGTTTGATTCGGTTTCAATTCGGCACATTAAGAGATATTATTAATTAAAATATTGAATTATTTATTTTTAATTATTTATTTTGAATTACTCGTTTTTGAATAAATTGGAGAAAGTATAAATGCATCTTTTTTTTTTATTATGTTTCATAAAATGAATCGTTAATCTCGATAACGTATTAATAAAGTTTGGAATCAAAGTTTCAATTAAGAGATATTATTAGTGAACTAAAAATATTGAATTACTTATTTTTAAATTTTGATCGAATCACTCGTTTCTGAATAAACTGGAGGAAGAATCGAAATGGGCCATTATATATATTTTCGAATTTCAATAGTAGAGTATAAATGCGTCTTTACGTTTCATAAAATGAATGGTTAAACCTCGAGGCGACAACGCCTCGTTATCTGTCACGATTACGACGCGGTTATTTATTAATTAACCTTTATAAGCGCGAGTGTTTGTCACGAGGCTGCTACCGGTTCATTTGAGTGTCGTGATGTGGGATACTTTGCGCTTTATTTATTGCACGGCGTACACTGAATCGTCTAGCATGTTTTTTTTAGAATATTTCTCTTCCGTGTCGAGTTGGAATGATAAACATTTTTAACGTTATGCTTTTTAAACGATGATCTCTATTTAAGGGAAATTAAATCGTCGTTTAGAAAAAAAAAGAGAAAAACTTTTAATTTAATACTTCTGTTCTTGAAATTATCCTTATTTAATAAATTACGAGTCATGCCACGAATAATATTCGAAATCTTGATTTTATTCGTGAAAGAAGAGGCTGTTCGAGGAAGAACTATCATCACGGTTGAATTATCGATAACACATCGTTGTTTGAAGTAACTAAACTTCAAAAATTCTGACTCTTTGTCTTCAAATATTTACGGCAGGAGAAAAGGAATGATTCGAAAAAGGGAATCAAAGATGCGATCGTTTTTCGTCAAAGAAAATTTGCATGCTTTCACGAGTTGAAAAATCCGATTAGTAAAATGAGTCGATAGTGTATAATTGAAACGCTAGGATATTCTCTTTGTCTCGTCGTTCGATCCATTTTCTTAGCTTATATATTTTTATCTTCGTTTAAGTTTGCACGCGTTGCAAATTTTTGATTAAACAAATGCGTCCCTTTGTGCCCTAAGTGTGAAAATTCGAACGCGAATGAATGAATAAACGGGCCGGTAAAGCGATCAACTATAGAGGGTATATAGTGGTATAAAAGTTGGCACGATTAAAAAAAAGGAGACGAGTCTTTCTATATATAGAGAAGAGTTGTTATTTGTGGAAAACTACTGCTTTTCGAAATAAAAACTTTCTTTAAATGATAATTTTTCGTACGTCAATTATGAATTATTCTTTCTCGATGTGGAAAATTTAAAAGAAAATAGCACTTTAGGATTAATAAAATATAATATGGTAAATATTACGAATATACGTAAAATTTAGCGAAATCGTAAAATCCTTAAACGAGAATTCTAATATAGGAACGTATATCGTTCGTAATGGTATGGAGATAAAACGATCTTCAAAATTATGAATTCTTATCTGAATGCAAAGGTGCCTGATTTACCTCTATTCGGCGTACACATCTCTCTCTCCTGTACTATTCCCTTTCCCGGTTAAAATTCCCTCTTCGCCATTGAAATATTTTTATTATTTAATTCTCAAGTAAAAATCCTACTTACTTTCTAGGAATTTAAAAAACGATAAAAATTTAGAGTTCTTCTGAATTTTCAAGCGACACATTGTTTCATAATCCGTTACGATTATGATCCACGCAATGCTCAATGATTTCCATTAAAGCCACAAAAATAAAAAATTAGATGGAACGCTTTTTTTCTTTTTTTGCTCTCATTTATAATAACATTCGCAATAAAATCGATAAGATACAAGCAACCAGTCTCTAAATAATAAAAACTCCATACGATATATCCTAACCTCTATTCTCAAATGAATGCGGAAGAAAAGTCGATCCCGTTCGCGCAACGATCTCGCAAATTGGAATAACTTTCCAAGGAATTTTCCCTCATCGATATAATTTCAATTGTGATACTCGATCCTCGATACTCGGCATCCGTTTCTATTTTTCCTCTCTCTCTCTCTCTCTCTCTCTTTCTCTCCACAGAGGCGCAGTGACGCGGGCATAATTAGTCTGGCCACGATCAAAAGCGTTCCTCTAATGCCTTCGAAACGTCGAGCGCGGAACGAGCGACGTGAAAAACACTCGATCGAGCGCTCATGGAGGGGAAAAAAAAAAAAAAAAAAAAAAAAGGGAAAAAAATTTTTTAAAAAAAAAAACGTAGCTAGCAAGAGAAAAGTCCCCTAAAAAGCCCCAACGGTCGATCGAAATCGCTGGCCGGGCCTCTACTATTCCTCTTTCAACTTTTCCACAAGGATAGTTCTCTCTCTCTCTCTCTCGCGCTCTCTCGCTTTCCTCGCCCCTCGCGCGAAACATCGGCCGCTTCATGACCAAGAAACACTCGAGACTCTGTAGGAGCGTGATGTAACCGTCCTCCTCCCCCCTCCTCTCAAGTTCGAGGAACCCAATAACTGGAAAACGCAGCGGAGCGTGTAGCCTTCGATTCTTGGAGAGGACGAAAAGAAGAGGAGGAGAGAGAGAAAGATTGTGTCGATTCGCGTCGAATCTCGAGTGCGTCCACCCCCCCTGCCTCCTTTTCTCCTCGGGCGGATATCGTGCCTGGCCGCGGCCAAGGGGAAAAAGGAACCAGGTCGGCGGAAAACGAGCGTCTCCTTCCCCTCCTCCTCCTCCTCCTCCTCCTCTCCCAGTATCCTCCGCGTTGAATA